GTGCCTGTCTAGCTAGGAATCCGTCCTAGAAAACAGCAGGGGCCATTTTCTTCAGCCGGCGGCCATTTTGGAACCTGACAATCAGCTGTTTGCTGATCATCATAATGCGACAAATTGGTTCCCGAAGTAAGGAACCGATCATCGCACAGCGGATTTTTCCCATAGGAAGCATCGTTTTGCCATCACAAAAAAGCATCTTTAAGTGGATTCGTCGTTATACAAGGCAGTCGTAAAGCGAGGCATGACTGTATATTTGTTATAACAAAGGATGACCAAGATTTACTCATTTTAGACTGAGAAAGATAGGTGGTTTGAGAGAGGGATTAGGGAGGCCATACATGAGCATATAGAAAGTCCCTCACTCAACAGGGGTGGAGGCCTTAGATACAATCTGTCTCTTATTTATCATACTGCCCTTTAATCCATCCCCAGAAGATTAGTACTTCACATACCAGAAAGACCAAAAACCAATGACAATAGGTGGAGAAGGACTGCAGAAGTGGGATTATTCCCCACCCTCAGTCCTTTGTCCTTCTAACAAGCCTATTCAGACTAGGGGGAAGGGAAACCAATGTGGAAGATATGTCAGGGGTTTCCTATCAACTCTCCTCAGACTGAAGAAGCTACTTGGATGAGTAGCAAAACGTTTCAACCTAACAAGAAATAAATCCAGTTGCCATGACTCAACTTCCAGGTTTCCTGAGAAAGTTCATTTCATATTTCTCTCCATAATGTTTTTAAACCTTCAAACCAAATATTGTGTAATTTTTCTGTGTAAAACAAGTTAGAAGGAAGCCTCAAATTTCAATGTCCATATCTATTGCTTCCTAGGTGTTATGTTAAATTTAAAATTTCTAAATTTCACTGTAAATCCTTAACTTCCTAAGGCACTAGAAGATGTTGGGTAAGTAGTCAGATGTAGACAAGGAGGTCTCCCAGAACCTTCTTTGCATACAAAGTTTGATGGAGAATATATTTCTCTCCAAAAGAAATACAGTGGGGTCTTGACTTAAGAATGGCTTGAGTTAAGAACATTTTGACTTAAGAACCACTCTCATAGGAAAATATTGACTTGACTTACATACTTAGATTTGAGTTAAGAACTGAAAAAGAACCACGTGGGAGGCAGGGAAAGTGCAAAATTTGAACTTTCAGTTAACTGTTGGCCAGTGAAAAGGGTGCCTGTCTGCTTCCTCACTCCTCCCAGCATTTAGAGAGTGGATTGGGAGACAGTCTTCAGACTGCCTGGTACTGTACTGCGAAGTCCAGTAAGCTCTCCCAAAAAGGTTATATTGTTGCAGTAGTGTAATGGAAATACTTACTGTCTTTATCTATTTTGAAAACTGCCAGTTAAATCCTGTTACATAAGCAGATTTTTATCCAAAATACACTCGACTATAAAATGACATCTTTAAAATTACTTGTTGGGAAATTAACAACAGCACATTTGCCCAATATGGCAATTATTGTATACTTGAAGGCACAGTGTTTCTCAAAGCAGTAATTAGAATGCAGTTTTTAGGGCTGTCGTGGCGCAATAGAGACTTTGCTCCAGGACACCAAAATTGAGAGGAAACCAACACCTAAAGCAGAATCTATTGATGAAAATTAGGAAAACAAATAGCAACAACTTTCAGACCTCTTTAATACCCCCTCCCCACCTTTAGGAGGGACCACAAACTTTCTTTTTCTGTGGTGAAGTGTGCGGCACATTCTCTTCCTACTGTTTTTATGGTTGGCTTATGCCCAGGTGTCAGAGCAGAATGGGTGGACGACTGTGCAATACTGCTTTCTCCAGGTGACAAAAATTGTTTGTTATGGTGGTTGTTGTGGGTTTTTCGGACTCTTTGTTATGTTTGTTTTGGCTCTGGCAGTTACAATGGTAAATTAAAGGAATTAAAATATGAAAGTACTCTGCTACACTTACTTTGATTCAGAAGTTTAAAACATTCATTCTGTGTCTGCTTTTTCATGCAGCTGATGTGGTAACATTATAGATCCAAATTAACTTTTACTTTAGAATTATTATAGCAGAAATGAAGAATTTGTCACATTAGAAGCATATATTCAATGATCATTTTAGATATTTCTCTTTAACCACTTGGATATACTCTCATATTGCTTAATCAGAACAAATCTATGCCATTTTGCTGTCTGAAGCAGAACAGAAAATGCTACCCTGCTACAAGACCAGTCACATTACATAGGCACCTGCTTTATTTTTCCCAATTAGTAACAAATACGACAATACTAAGATGGCAGTCTGAGGAAGCTGTATCACTCTGCCTGATGATAGCATAGCAGCCTGGCCCACAATAGAGAAATTTTCTGATTTCAGGGTATCTGTTAGATATTGTGAAAGAAGCAAATAATAACTGGTTACTATTCAGAAATCTGCAGCGATGCAATCATATTTTAAAAGGATAATAAAGGTTTATAGTACTGTGAGGGTTCGTTTTTGGGGCTTCCCGCCCTTCCCAAGAAGGATGGTAAAAATATATAGTTATAGAAAGGGTGATTTGGTTATCCTGAACTGTGACAATTTATCTACAAAGATTTGCTTTTCTTAGAGAGCTCATCTAGAAAGTACTTTCGAACACAAAGATAGATGTGATGTCAGGTCTGCACACTGGATCTCCCTGAATCACTTAGACAAAATAAGCGGCAACCCAAAGGGGAACATAAGTCCCTTTACTTCTGCTCACCTACATTCAGTATTGATCCCTAAATGCTTTTCTGTCATCTGCAGCACATTTCCAGTATTAGAGCTCAACAGAGGAAAAAGGTCTCAGAGACCTGAGGTCTGATCTGGCCATGGTGACACATGTTTTATTCACACCCTGGCTGGATGACTGTAACACGCTCTACATGGGTTTGCCTCTGGAACGTGTCAGGAAATTTCAGCAGGTCCAAAACCTGGCAGCCAGATTGCTCACTGCTGCTGTCCACAGGAATCATGTAAGTCCACATTACAGCAGCTCCACTGGCTGCCAATCATTTTGGGGGGAAATTCAAAGGGCTGGTTCTAACCTATCAAGCCTTAAAAGGCTTGGGGCCAAGCTATCTCAAGGACCACATCTCCCTTTGTGAGCTTGCCCAGGTGTTATGATCACCAAGAGAGACCTTCCTCTGGTCCCACCACCTTCGCAGGTGCATTTGATAGGGGCACAGGAGAGGGCCTTCTAAGTCACAGCTCTAAGACTTTGGCAGTCCCTCCCACAGGGGGCTAGGCTGGCCCCGTCTTTGCTGTCCTTCCACAAGCAGACCAAGACCTTTCTCTTCAGGCCAATTTTATTTCAGTGACTGGTTGCCTGAGTGGTTTTTTGATGGACTGTTATGCCTTTCTGCTTTCAATGTGTTTTTAGTATTGCTTATGTTCACCATTTCTCAAAGTGGTATTTGTTTGATCCTTTTAGTATTTGCTTCTAGCTCTCAGTGTTGTCTTTTAAGTATGTGTAACCCACCACTGTGTGCTCATGGTTTTTAGCTTTAAAATGTCATCCTTTAATGATATAAATTGTCTCGGGTCCTTTTTAAGGAGAAAGGTGGGGTAAAAATATTTTAAACAAATAAATAGACTGGAGTGGGGTAAGATGAAGTGGAGGACATGTTCAGTGCTCCGTGTGTAAGCCTTTTGCTGCTTAAATAAATATTACTCATGCTATTCAAACATGATTTAGAATAGATTTGTATTTGAATAAGCA